CCCAGCACACCTGGCATGCTCCTTGGCAGCTGCCAGCCCTGGCCAATGCTTCCACCTCTCCATGTTCTCCCAAACACCTTGAGAAACATTCCCTGCTCTTCCTTTGCTGCTCCCAGGGCTTCTCATCCCACAGTTTCTCAGTCAGAGATCTTGTGATGAATGAGAGTTTGAAGGTGGCTCAAAGAACCCTCGGCAAAGGCATCGACAAAAGGAAGTTTTATGTAAAAGCCAAAATCAACCCAAAAATTATCTACATGGAATGAGGGGGTCGTAGGGTAAGGATAGGAAAGGATACAAAGGAATAAGGGAGACCCTCCCGCTAAGGGTCGGAGGGAACCCCCTTGCTAAACTGGGCCCTGGACTTGCATGACATTTCAGGCCTAAAGGTTTAACAGCACTGAATCAAGAGCTTAAGTTAAACCATTTAACAAAAGATTCATATGGAATTTGCTGTAGCAGAACAGTAACTCATGTAGAGGCCTGACTTAGGAATCAAAAGGACTTAAGAATCTGAGAGCAATATTTCTGGGACATTTGCTGTAGCACATTCACACTCACACACACACAGAGCTAAAGACTTTGTACAAGGTGTGTACAGGTGTGTGCACAGGTGCACACACAGGTGTGTGTACAGTGCATGTACAAGGTATGTACAGGTGAATGTACAGGTTTATACCTGTGAAAAATCCCCCTGAGCTCAGGGAAGGACTCACGTCAGTGCCTTTGCACCTTCCCAAGGGGGGAAGGGCTGAGTAGGGGATCAGCCCAGGCTCCTGCCTTGGTCCTCCCAGTGCAGCAAATGGGGCTCTGAGAGGCCCCACTCTGAGGCAGATCTGGGCACTGAGGTCCAGAAGAGCTCCAAGGGTCTCCCTCGGGATGGCTGTTTACAGGGGCACAAGAGAGAGGCCTTTGTTGTTGTCATTTTCCATCCCGGCCACAATTCAGGGCAGGAACTTACTTTTAAAATTCAATAACAGAAATGTTGTTGCACTTGGGTTGTTCTTCAGGCAACAAAAATCACTTCCCAAGGCTGTTTGTTAAAGCAGGAGCTCATTATCCAGCACGAGTTCCTGGGAACAGGCAGTGTTTCTGATAAGCTCGAGAGCAGCTCGGCACAGGTGCTGTTTGTTTCTGCTGAGCATTTCTGAGATCATAGAGCAGCCCAAGAGGGGTGGGGGGATGCAGCACCACAG